AGGATCAGGGACTGAATACTTTTCAGAAATCCATTATATTCAGTCATCACTTTTTAACCTTTGCTGTGAGTGATTTTTGTAATGCACTCATAGTGGACGATTTTTAAATTCTAAAGGTGAATGAAATGGCATTGTCAAAGCGGTTATGTCTATGTTGATGAGAACGCTAGTGCCTGGAAATTGAGTTCTTCAAGGGAGGGATATCATGGGAAGAGTTAGAAAGAATTGTGTCTTGATTTCCAATATATTAATTTATTTAAAGAGCTTCCTCTGTTTATATGTAGGAATCATAGAATGTTAGATTTAAAAAGACATTCGAATCAATCCAGTTATTGAAATAAGTTTTATGGAGGTAACGAGAGATGCAGGCAAACCATGTGAGCAGTCCAAGGTCACACAGCTGGTTAGTAGAATGAACCAGAAAAACCCCATCTTCCTGAATTATGGGGGTACAATGGACTCTCTCTGCAGTGTGCAGAATACAGTCATGCATTTCATAATGGCATTTCGGTCAATAGTGGACCTCATATGTGATGGTGGTCCCATAAGATTATAATACCATATTTTTACTGTATCTTTTCTATGTTTGGATATGGTTAGATACACAAATACTTCTCACTGCGTTACAATTGCCTACAGTATTCAGTACACTAACATGCTGTACAGGTTCGTAGCCCAAGAACAATAGGCTATACCAAATAGCCTAAGGATACAGGAGGCTTGTGTAAGTAGATGATTTGATGTTTGCACAACAACAAAATTGCTTATTACATTTCTCAGAATGTATCTCTATCGTTAAATGATTCATGACTGTGACTCTTATTGGAAATAATTCCAATCTTAGGCTATCTATATTTCCCCCCTTTTTTTCTTCCTTTTCTAATTAATCAATTAATGTAAGTAACCAGCTATAACTCCAGTTTTGCATAATCTGCAAAGTGATCTTGGGACTTTTGCCTTGCCAAGAAAGGCTGCTATGGGTCTAATTGTATACAATAACCCAAGAAATGAAGAAAGCTCTAGAACTTATGATCAGGCCCTGAATCACTTAGATTCAGGCACTCAGCAACAGAGAAGGAGGAACAGGTCTCCTCTCATTTCTCAGGAAGTGCCCTCAGTGTACAGGAAACTCACTTTGAAAATGCAGGAAGAAAGGTTATTACGTTTTATCCGAGAGTGATTGCAGGTAGGCATGGTTTTCTGTGTGCTCCTTGATGAGGTCATCAAAACTCCCCGGATGAATCCCAGCTCATGCAGTTCAACAAGCATTTTTGATCCTGCCCCCTACTAGCTGTTGGGGAGTTAAGGATAAACAAGCCATGATGTTTCATTTTTGGAGAAACTGGTCTTAATCCTTGCAAGAAGGGCTATGAGAAACCAAGATACAAAATCAATATGAAACAAAGTAGCCGAAACAAAGACATATGCCGTCCCTACTCCTCTGACCCTGATCAAAATGAGAGGAAGTGTCAACATGTTTTCAGTTAGAGAAGAAGGGCCATCAGCTAGTAGAACCAGCCTCACTGCGGGTGGGACCATATGATGAAGAGGACTCAGAGCACTACTTTGCACTTTTCTCCTGAAGAAAGTGGCGGGATCTCATGGGAATCAAGTAGAGGGGAACTCAGACATTCCGAAGAGGAGAGAGGGCTCAGGCGGTAAGCTATGCGAGAATGTGTTGCACATATTGGAGGCTGGAAGCCACGTGCCAGGTGAAGGTACTGTGTTTCCCCTAAAATAAGACAGGCTCTTATATTTATTTTTCCTCAAGAAGACACCCTAGGGCTTATTTTCAGGGGGTGTGTTATTTTTTTTAAGTACAGTACAACAATCTACATTTATTCAAATATAGTTAAATTGTCTTTTGGAACATCATCATAACTCTCCAAACCCCAAATTCCATCCCCAATTTCTTGCGACTCTATTTCCTTTAGAACCATTGGCCCCAATCTCTCATGTGGAGCAAAAGAGCTCTCATGGGGCAGACGAGAAGGGCTGCTCATCTTCTTTACAGCTCCGCCATGAAACGCATGGGTTGTGCAGACACACTGCAGAGTCACGCCCATCACTAGGTCTTATTTTCGGGGTAGGGCTTATATTGCACAAATGCTTAGAAATCCTGCTAGGGCTTATTTTATGGGTAGGTCTTATTTTCGGGGAAACACGGTAGCAGCAGCAGAGGCCTTTTTACAAACGTAAAGACCTTTTTCTCCCAGTAACGATGGCAGAATCTAGAGGGGAACTTAAATTCCAGGGAATTGGGGAGGGAAGCGTTGGTGCACGGATTCCCTGGCAGATGAACAGCAGGTGGCAGCAACAAGGGACTTTTGCAGACTCTGGGTTTCTCCCTTGGCACTGAACAGTGGCACAGGCGTGAATGAAGTTTACAGCAAGCCCCAAATTAAGGTTAGGTAGAACCGGGGTGCCGGCCGCGGTGTGGGGTGAAAAGGGGCCATGGGCAGGTCCAGTAGCACTAGGAAGGGTCTTGCCTCACTTGCCTTCCCGGAAGCACGAGTGCGCACTGAGAAGAGGCACGCAGGCTGCTGGGGTGAGGGTGGTGACCAGCAGGGGGCGCCTGCGACCGCCCTCTGGGGAAGCCTCCCTCTGGTTTCAGGAAAATGTTCAAAAGCTCCCTCCTCCAGTTTTCTAGAAATTAACTGTGGGGGTTTTGAATGGATTCTTCGTACACCTGCATCACGACCTCTAACTTGAGGTCCAGACAGTGCCCCGGGGATTGGCACCTGGCAAACAGGGGTGAGACTATCGTAGAGACGAAATGCAGGCAGGGTGGAGAGAAAGAGCAGACGTTGTCAGGGTGCCTGTGACAATGGATGGAAGCAAAAACCTGGTCAGAATTCGGGAGAGCTTCAGCTAAGAGACCCGGGCTCTGCCTCTGCGTGGGGGCTATGAAACTATGAAAAGCGGGTAGTGGTTTGTTCATCAGAAGTAGTCGCTGCAAACAAACTGACAAGATGTTCCCGGGCGGTGTGTATGCCACCGCGGGCAGGGAGCTATGTTTGAGCAGCACGGGGAGACAAGATGTGAGGTCTTGTGGGTCTCTGCGCTCAGAGTCAGAAGGAAAACAGTTTAACATTGACATCCGCAGGCAAGGTAGGAGGGGTGGAAAGCTCCAAGCACCTTCAGGGAAAGCCTGAACGTCCCATGCCTGGGGCCACACTCTCCTTCCCTAACCCGAGCTTTCTTGTTGGCAGCCATGGGTGCAGGGAGCTCTCCCAGACTGAGCTGGAGCGAGCCCACTCTACTCCTCCTTGTGGATGGGGGCTGGCTCTTGGTGCAATCCCCAAGAGATCAGGGTCTCTGGAATCCATGCCCTCTTTCCTCCTGCCTCCTCCCTCCCCCACTGCTTTGCTGCCCCCTTAGCCCTGACTCCTTCAAGCAAGTGGCTGTAAGTGGGTTCTTCCTGGCTTTTTCATTATCTTCCAGGCAGGCACTTCCTTCACACACTGCGGACTGGCCAACCCTTCCCTCAGTCTGACCCTACCTGTGCTCACATAGCAGAATTCATGGACATCCCTGGCTCGTGGTTCAAGGATGTTGAAGGATGTGTTTACCTTTGTACATCTAGACAGGTCTTGCCTCCCTTATAATTTGTTCTAGATGGGGAGTTGTCAAATATATAGGCACATGGCAGGAGAGAAACCCAGCATGTACTTGTATTTGGAAAGCACCAATTATAAAAAACAAACAACTGCCTTTGCAGAGAGCAACATACTGGGAAAAATGATAATGGTATTCTGCTAATTCTAGCCTTTTCTGTCTCTGTCACTTTGTACATCTCTCTCACTTAGTGCTTTGCTGTTGTTTCTCATTTGCTTTTTGACTTTCCACCATTTTAGTTGCCATTTTGTTTCTTTTTTTTGTTGTTGTTCCTTGTTCTGTTTGAACTATTGTTCTTTTTTATGTGTAATTACAGCATAAGCCGGAAGTCCAGATAACATTAAACTAGAAAACCCCTGTTAAAATGCATTTGTATCACAAAAAGGAAATTAGCACATTTGTATGATAAATGAAAATGTGTTATCTTGCAGGAATGGTGAACATGAAGGTTAGGCAATGTGAAGATTCAATGACATTTTCCCAAGTTCAAGGATTGCATTTGGGAACCATATTTCCCCTGGGTTAGAGGCTGGTGTTAAGTAGGCAGAGAACTGGAAGCTGATAAAGGAATTACTAATACTGCCGTTTGTTTTACAAATTTCAATTAAAGGATTTAATACAATGGTTAAACTATAAATTGCATTTAGTAAAGCTACAAGACTGGCATTTCCCTTAATTTAATATTTCTGCTGAATGGCAGGAGGCGTTAATCCCTGAGGCATTGAGTGGTCTCAAACTCAAACTAAATCCCTAGTATTTATGATTCCTGGTTACAAGAAATACTGTGCATTCGACTGCAGAGTGGAATGAAGTAATATTATCATTTTTTTTCTTCACAGTCCGGAATTTAATATGATCTCGTTGCACTTTAAACATTTAAAAGATCTCAAAATGAATCAAATGCTTGGATAAACCATGTGAATTTCTCTTTCACTTTCATTTGCTAGACAATTGCAAATGAAGTATGATATCATTTTGTTAGGTTTCCAAGACAATAAAAAAAACTTAAGGAAAATGAGCATCAGGACACACAAATATATACTTAATGTGATCAAACTATAAAAGCTTAAAAAATCAGTTTTGCAGAATTTATAGGAAGAATTCCATGACATTTCCAATCAGGCAAAGAGAGCTTATCTTGTTCAACCATAGGGTTTAACATAATTTCTCTAGTTCTTTATATTTTTCATTCACACTGTATTAAAGGGCTAAATGCAAGTTAATATTTGTATGTATATATATTTTATAAATATAAAACATATATAATATATTAATTATATGATATATTAATATATAATATGTAATATATTATGTAATATGTTAATGTATTTATTCTCCAAGTTTATTTAGTCAGATTTTTCACCTGAGCAGTCTTCAGTGAGGTCAGTCACAGGGAGAGGTAAAGGTTTGAATCAAGCGCTCTGTGCCTTCTCTTACTTGAGCTCCGGAGAGTGTCCTGGGTATTAGAACCTGTCACACATGGAGAGGAAATGAAGGCATGGTGCAGACAATGAGCAGGGACCAACCATGATGCTATTTGATGACAACAAATAGAGGAGAAAACCTGGCCAGAATCTGGGAGAGCTGTAGCCTAGAATCTGCTTTTTCCTGGGAATTATGCCGCTATGAAAATTTGTCAGTGGTTTATTCAGCAGAAATGGTGGCAGTAACAACTGACAATACTTCTCTACCAAAAATTCTTCTACAGATGCTCTTAGGATCAAGTTCTTTACAGCTACTTTGTGGCCTTGGAAGTTTGGTCACTTTCCATGCCCTGGCCCCTTGCTCTCTCTGTTCTAGCCATACTGACCTTCTTTTAATTTGCCCAAGTGTCCACTTCCTTTCTGCTCTCAGGAACTCTGCATATCCCATGACCTGCGCCCGGATTGCTCTCCCCTACCTGACTCCTTGACCTAGTTTGTTCTTGCTCAGCATCTTGCTCAGCAAACTCTTATTTCCCAAGGAGTAGGTTAGGGCTCCTTGCTCTGCGTTCTTGCAACACCCCTGTCCCTCACTACCATGGTAGTTAGTTACAAATTTCTTTAGTTATTTCTTTAATGTCGGTCTCTCTCCTTGGATAAGTATTTCTGTGAGGATAGGGACCATTATTTGTCTTGTTTACAAGCATGTTGCTTGACACATGATTAAAAAAAAAGACACAGTTAATTAATTGCATGTATACATAAACAAGGCAGAAACCTGGTGTTCTGGGTGGAATTGTGTCCCCCCCCCCAAAAGATATGCAGAAGTCCCTAACCCACAGTATGTGAGAATGTGACTTTATTTGGAAATAGGGTCTTTGCAGATGTAATCAAGTTAAGGTGAGGTCATTAGAGTGGGCCCTAATCCAATATGACTATTGTCCTCATAAGAAGAGGAAACCATTACATGAAGGTAGAAAAAGAGAAAGAAGTTCATGTGATGACAGAGACAGAGACTGGAGTGATACTTCTATAAGCCCAGAACAGAGTGGGTTAATAACCACCAGAAGCTGGAAAGAAGAAAGGGAGGATTCTACTAGAGTCTTAGAGGGAGTATGGCCCTACTGACATATTGATTTCAGACTTCTAGCCTCTAGAACGGCGAGAGAATAAATTATTGTTGTTTAAAGCCATCCAGTTTATAATACTTTGTTAGGCCAGCCCTAGAAAACTAATTCATCTGATCATTGGAGCTGGTGCCAGAGATTATAACAAAACCAGCAGCAAATGGCACCGACTTCTAGAGTGATAAGCAGTGGTGTCCCAAGCCAAATTTACTCTTAGAACCTGGGATTAGATTGATCTGGTGGGTGATGCATGAGGTAACTAAGCTGAGAAGAGAGTTTCAGGGGTTTGGCTTGGTAAAGCATGAGAAAGGGCACCCCTGAGAAAAACAAATAGTTAATATTTAGTGGTAATTCTATATATTAACATTATCTACACATTATACCTGCATGATTTTACTTATCCCTGAAATTATCTCATAGTTTAGATTCTATTATCCTTATTTTATAGATGAAGAAACTGAGTAACAGTGAGGTTAGGAAATGGCAGAGCCCTGACTTGAACCCAGGTACACATGAAGGACAGATAGTAGGGAAAGATGTCCCAGAAAATGCCAGTTTGTATATAGGTATTCGGTTCCCAAAAGCATTTATTAAGAATCCATATGGGTCAAACTGTTTCACAGGCTGCTGCTGTTACACTGAGATCCAGCCTATTTCAAAGCTGTTATTGATGTATAGGTATATGCTTTCTATTTTTAAATTTATTTTTGACGATACTGTCAATCAGTCTATATGTTTCGTAACCCCCTAGGCAATGCGGTGTGATATTGTCATCATGTTGACAATTTTGGTTTTATATCCACCTCATTAAAACCCAGAAGCACTTATGACATTCTGGTGCCAGTTCCTTCCTCTCCTACAGGTTCCTATTCTTCTGCTTCCAAACTAGGTCAACCAGGAGCCCAGGCTCAGAGGGAGGACGCAGAGGAATCAAAAGCTAGAAGGAATCTCAATGGGGCAAGAGATCATTAATCCTCCCTCCGGAGCGAGTTGCATCTCTCCAAGGTGAAATCTATTCTTGGAATTCCCAAGAGAAAGACCTTCCACCGGGTCTTGGAGAGCAGAGAACGTGAAACATTGGAAACAGGGCAACGCAGTCACCCAGAAAGTCTTCTCTTCACCCCCATGCCTCGCACTTTGGAGCCATCACCCTGATTTGCTGAGTCTCCATTTCCTTGCCTGGGAATTGAAACTAAGCGTAGCTCCCTGCCGTCAGAGTGTGTGTGAGACTAAACTGAGGACACGTAGAGGAAGGCATTTCTTCATGCAGGGGAATCCACTAAAAACCTCCACCAGGAGGGAGCTTCTTTTCTTTCACTTTAGGAATATTTTTATGATTGTGTCCAAGGGGCCTTTAAGCTTTGCTTTTCTGTCTTTAAAAACATTTTATTTAAAAAAAATCCTCAATCACTCGTGCTGCTCTTTTGGAACCTTTTAAGGTTTTCATTTGCCAGGTGGGGGGCGGGCGCGGCAGAGGCTCACGCTGCGCACACCAGGTAAGTCTTACCTGTACGTACACATCAGCAGAAACGCTGTTTAGAGGAACTTTACATGCTTTTTATTCTATTGTGGTTTACTAGAGCCATGGGTTAATTTTGGCAGTTTGGGATATGTCAGCAATTTTCACAGCTCATTTTTTCTTCTCCAGATATACTTCTCAGACTTCCCTTTTCCTGTTAGCTTGACTTTTAGCAATTTCTTTGTTTTGTTAAGATAATCTTAAATACTAAGGGTATTAATTATCCCCCCCAACATGGACAGTCCTGTAAAAACTCTGTGATGTTTGCCCCTACAAAAAGTGTTCATTATTCAATCACAAGTCCAAGTAATGTGACCATGGATCTCAAGCAGTAACCTCTGAAAGCTCTGTCCAGCATTTTTGTAGGAACGCCAACATGTAAGTACTAAGGGCTGATGGTCGTAATAATAAAATTAGAGACAATTCATCGAGGTCACACAGTGTGCCAGGCACTGTGTTGAGTGCTTTCTGCATTACCATAGACACCCTCAAATGGTTTCATTATCCTTTTTCTGCACACCTCCATTACCAAAGTTGAGGTTTTCAAAAATTAAGTAAGTCGAAGAAAAACAATTGAAGTTATTTAGGTTTAGGGACTTAAAAGGCCATGCATTACCCTCTGCCCTTGCCTGCCTCCTAAGGATGTTACAACCCGTTAAGGACCAAACAGATCTGATTTTGGAATCTGCGTGCATATAGGTTCAGGGCATCAGAATATGGTAAAATCTTCTTCCTGATATCTGTAAAAATCTGCTTCTTTGCCCTTTACAGTCACCGACTCATACATCTGTTCCCAGTAAATTTCTTAATCACCTCTGGTGATTCGAGTCTGACTCCTTAAGTATTTTGTCCCTGCCACGTGTGGGGAATGGATATTCTTAAAGCATCTGCTCACCCCCTTCCTCCTGGTAGACTCCAAGGCAGACAATTCACTGGAGAGTTTTTAGCAGTGTCTACCTTTTCTGGCTGCAAGGAAAGTTTGCCATCTGTCAGTGGTCCTGGAGTATCCTTCACTGACCTCTTGCATTTAATTTCCTGGACTGAATGCTCCTACCTGTACCCAACCCGTTTACTCTGGTGGCTTTGGCCTCTCCTTACACAGACAGTTAAGAAATTGTAATTCCTCCAGGAAGGATGAAGTCTGTGTTTTTCAGCAAGGTGGAGAATATATTCCACTCTAATATGACTCTGGTTTCCTAAAGCATGGTTTTCTTATTTGTGCTTATTGTGATATTGAGTTTCTTTGAATTTGCTTATCACAATAGGGCATGGGCCATATGAAGTCTAGTGTACAAAAGTGTAGGCAAAAAAATCTCTCCCTGGTCACTCTCTCCACCTTCCTGGAAGCTCAGCATTTTTGTATGAATAGATAAATTAGAAAAATTTAATTGTATTTTCGGCTAAGGGATTGGCTTTTTACAATGGCTGACTTTTACTCTGAAGAACAGAATTGGGATGAATGCGCCTTCTACCTTATTTTCTGCTCTGTGAATGCATGCTTTCCCTCTTCTTAGAGAAGCTCCCAGAATGATCCTGCTCTGCTGCATGTGCATTCTTCTACATCCCTGGATTTGGGTAACAGCCTCCTAACCCTTTGGATACATAAAGTGTGACCCAAAGACGGCCAGTATACAAAATCTTCTGAGAGTTTTCTGACATGCACTCATGGAAAAGTTTCATGAACAATAAAAATCAGCACAACTGACACATGTGCACACTATGGCCCTTGATGACTCTCTGCTTTGAGTCTCTTCAGGTATTTCAGCCTAGTGACATTTTCACTATTCAGCAGCTAAGACGGTGGCCTTATCCACTTTCTCTCTCCAGTCTAGCATCTGTTGCTCTCTTCTTCATTTTCAATTCTATGAATTTCCTCCTCCATATTATTTTAAGATTTAAGTGTCCAGATGGATACCGAATTCCTTCCTCACACATGCGGCTTCCTGAGCAAGCAGTGAGTTTTTGATTTTTCACTGGGCCTGAGCCATCTCTCCTGGCCTGCTTTTTTTGTAACACATAACGCTCTTTCCCCTCCCTGATTTTAATGGCTTCATTAAGGGTCTTAGAATTGCTGGCTCTTGAATATCATTTACCCAAGTACCATCAAGGTTTCAGTGGAGAAGGAACTGAGAGAAATAGAAAAACACAGTCCCATATTTTTATCCATTCACAGCCGACCTTGTCACGCTGCCCTTTCTAGGGTGGCTGCCTAATTAATATGGGTGTCAAAGAGTCTAGCAGTATCACTAGCTGCCCAAGCAAATCACCTAAATGCTTTTATACTGTTAATAAGACATAAATGTGGCTAATAGCAGCTTTTACATAGAGCATTAATGAAATAATTTCTACATGTGATATGAACCTTACCCAATTAGTCACTTTTAAAATGCCCTCAGACCCGATTTCAAAGAGAATTTGATGCACTGAAAAGGAATTCAGGAGTCAGAGACCCCAAATTACTCAAAGTCTCAGGATACTCAAGACACTCTTATTCTGGGAAACCTGATAGAGCATAAAGATTCTAAAGTATTTTTACCCCAGTAGAACAGTACCTTGGATTCCTTATATCACCATTCCATTCCATGCATGAGCTAGAAAAACAAGAAATACCAGTAAGCTGGACCTTTTATAAAGCTTGAGGTACTCATAATTCCTGATGCTTTGCTCATGGTATAGTATATCATACAATCTGAAAAAGAGCCAGTAGATGGTGTCAAAGATGGATAGGTATTTGTATCCCCATTATATGATAAAATAAAAGGGAAAAAAATATGGATAAGGTTAGCTCCAGCAAAGAGGTTCTAATAGCTCCCTGCAACTCCCAAGCTCTTTAGCTAGAAGAAACACACACCTGTAGCTATTTGCCTTTCTTCCCTTTACATCATCTCCCTCTTTTCTCTGCTCTCTGTATGTCTTTGGTTAGTTTGTTTCTTCCTTTCTCTCTACCTGTTTTCTTTTTTGTGGACCTTAGACATTGATAGTTGTAATCATATTCCTCAGATCATGATTCATCAGGATGAATTGTTTTATCTTACCTTTTTTTCTCCTTCATTGTCCCTATTTATATTCATTTCTCTACCTTTTATAGGCACCCACCTCAGAATATTTATTTACTATGTACTTGCATAGGTATCAGTAAGACGTGAAGTTTTATTTGGCAAATGTGTCTTTTAAATTTATATAAATGGTATTGTGTTACAGAATGTAACTTTGTTTCATTTATTTACTCAACCTCATCTTTAAAAAGATTCCATAATGTTGTTATTTGTAAATCTTAGCCTCTTCTGGCTGCTATTTTCCATCATCTGTCAAATATCTACACTACATTTTAGTTATTCATTATTCTAGTGATGGCATCTACGTTTCTTCTAACTTCAGTACCATAAACAATATTTTTTATTTATTTATTTATTTATTTATTTGAGACAGAGTCTCGCTTTGTTGCCCAGGCTAGAGTGAGTGCCATGGCGTCAGCCTAGCTCACAGCAACCTCAAACTCCTGGGCTCCAGCGATCCTTCTGCCTCAGCCTCCCGAGTAGCTGGGACTACAGGCATGCGCCACCATGCCCGGCTAATTTTTTATATATATATCAGTTGGCCAATTAATTTCTTTCTATTTATAGTAGAGACGGGGTCTCGCTCTTGCTCAGGCTGGTTTTGAACTCCTGACCTTGAGCAATCCGCCCGCCTCGGCCTCCCAAGAGCTAGGATTACAGGCGTGAGTCACCGGGCCCGGCCCATAAACAATATTTTAATGAACATCATTATACATGCCTCCTTATGTTCCCATATGAGAGTTTCCCTAATGGGGAGTAAGATGGTAAGCCTGTAGGGTACTAATATTTTTAATTTCAGCAAGTTTTGCCATTTTGTTTTCAAAAATGTCTTCTTTAAGAGATAGCTGCACTCTGTTTATTGCAACACTAGTCACAATAGCCAAGATATGAAATCAACCTAAGTGTCCATCAAGATCAACAGATGAAGAAAATTTGGTATATATACACAATGGAATAATATTCAGCCATGAAAAAGAATGAAATTCTGTCATTCACAGCAACATGAATGAGGATATTGAATTAAGTGAAATAAGTCAGGCACAGAAAAATAAACACTGCATGTTCTCACTCATATGTGACAGCCATAAAAGTTGAACACATGGAAGTTGAGAGTAGAATTGTGGTGATTAGAGGATGGGAGGGGTAGGAGGCAGAGGAGGCTATGGGAATTTTGGTTAATCAATACAAAATTACAGCTAGATAGGAAGAATAACTTCTAGTGTATTACAGCACTGCCTAGTTAATAATTTATTGTATATTTTCAAATAGCTAGAGGATAGGAATGTTCCAAACACAAAGAAATAATAAATGTTTGAAGTAATGGTTATGCTAATTACCCTGACTTGATCATTACACATTGTATGTATGTACTGAAATATCACTCTGTATCCATCACTATGTATGATTATTACGTGTCAAATAAAAAATAAAAGAGCCTTCTTCAGCAAAAGTGCATAAAGGTTCTTATTTATCCACATTCTTGCTGTTGCTTGGTTTTATCTGAACCTCAGCTCAAAGTTTAGAATCTCATAGTCTAAGTCAGGTCCAGGTGAGTATGAGGCTGCCTGGATAAAGTTCTTGAGGACAATTCCCAAGTACAATTCTTCTTGATCTGTGAAATTAAAGACACAAGCTATTCATCCACCACATACCTGACAATCTGGATGACACAAGCATAGGGTGGCCTCTGTAGACATTCTCATTCAAAAAGGGGGGAAATAGGAGGCACAAAGAGTCAATGGGAGCAAGGTGATTGACTAGAGATGTCTGGCGCTCATTCCCCCTGCAAGAAAGAACCAAGGGAATGAATAAACACCTAACACTTGACTGGAGTGTCAAAAGGAGAGTGCTGGGGTGCAGCAGAGAAGTGGAGATGAACCTGTAGTGATTGAAAGCCCAGGAGGGCAGCATGAGGGCAAGTGGCTTCTGCACCCCTGTCTCCCCTGCCAGATCCTATTAGCTTCGAGTCAGGAGGGACTTCCCCCTGCAGAAGAAAGTACTCAGAAAACTGCACCAGCCCCCATTGCCACCACACACACCTACAGCCCTTACTATAGGAGAATGTCATAGTCTTTGCAAGCCCTGAACCCAGTGTGGAGAGCTGTCGGGGATTCACTCAGTTGCATTGCTTAGGTTAGGAGCACAAGGTGAGCACTCTCCATCCTCATCCACCCCCATGAGCCAAGCTGCTGTAGCATGACGCCATCTTGAGAACAGAGCCTCTTCTGGAGTGTGCCTTGCTCTGGGGGCCAGTAGCCATTGCACCTCTTACTACTGGGGATCCATTGTCATTCCAGAAAGCCCATGTGGGTAGTTGAACACCACAAGCTCAACTGTGTGGAGTCTGGGCCCAGGATCACCTGTGGTTCTGGTAATGCACAGCAAGGAAACCAATTCCTACTACCTGAAGTTCCAGCCAGAGGAACGGTCTGGCAGTCCTGCCCAGGGTGAACTCACCCTTGAGTGAGCCGAACCACTGTATACCCTCCCTGGAGGGGGAAAGGTCCCTGAGAAACAGCCCCATGACACGTGCCACCCCCTCCCCAGGGACATTCCTATGGCCTGTCCAAAGCTCCCAAGCCCATAATAAGGGCCTGAGAAACAGCTCCATGGGCACCACTGGAAGGCATGCTTCCGGGCTGGCCGTACAGCTGTGTGCTCATGTTCTTGGCTGAGAAACAGCACCACAGGCTACTCCTGGCAGACACATTCCCAGGCTGGCTGAGCAGCCTTTTGCTCACGTTCTGGGACTGAGAAATAGCCCTGTGGTTTACACCAAGTAGACCTGCATCCGGGCTAGGTGGGAGGCCATGTGTCTGTGTCCTAGGCCTGAGAAACATTCCCGCAGTCTATTCCTGGCAAGCAGAACACCAGGCCAGAGACAACACTCCTATTCTTCTTAGAAGCTCTATTGTTTTGTTTAAAGAATGTGAGAGTCACACTCTTAAAACCTTAAGAGGGCTATTTTTTTTTTTAAACTGACTCAGTGATACTGAGGCACCACCTTCAATTTTTATGAGGTCTTACATGATTTTATGCTCACACCCTCAGCTTCATTTATACTCCGTGCTTTCTTGAAAATGTCCTGGATTTGATCTTTGCTCAGAAGCATTTTTTTTTAATATTATTTGCCATCTGAAGAGGCTGGAAATCTTCAAAAACTCACAAGTTTTGATTCTTTTTGTAGAACATTTCTTTCTTTAGAGAAGCACTTTCTTCTTGGATTTTACTATAAATAGCCTTTACGTGGCATTTTCACCAGTTTGGCTGGAAATCTCCTCCACTGCATCAAGTCACTAGGTACATTTCCTACCTTCCACATTACTTCTGGTGACCATTCTGCCAGTACGTGGCAAAGATCTCCCTTTCCCCCAGTTTCCAGTGGTATTTTCCTCATTTTCTTTTCAGCCCTCACTGACAGCATCTTTAAAGTCTAAAATACTAACGTCTGATCAAGGCAATTAGACTTTCACTAATGCTCTCTTCAGAAAGTTCTTTACCCATGCAGTTTCTGCCCACTTTTTCTCCCACATTTTTGGTTCTATTATGGCATATCCCACTTAGGGTACCAAACTATAATATTTTCAATTGCTGCATAAAAATTATTGTAAAACTTAGTAGGTTAAAACAACAAATATTATCATACATTCTCAGGTCAGGAACCTGGGAGCTGTTTCTTTGGGTGTCTCTGCCTCAGAATCTTCCACAAGGTTGCAGAGAAACTCTTGGTCAGAGTTGCAATCATGCCATGGCCTAACAAGCCTGGAAAATCTGATTCCGAGCTCACGTACATAATTATTGGAAGGCTGGAGTTTTTCACTGACTGCTGTCTGGAGGCTTAAATTCCTTGCGATGCAGACTTTTCCACAGAGTTGCGCACAGTGTAGCCATCTGCTTTCTCCAGAGCAAGAAGAGATAGAGGGAGAGACGAAAGAGAATGCACCCAAGATGTAAGCCACAGTCTTCCAGAACCCAACCTTGGAAGTAGTATACTGTAACTGCTGCCATATGCTACTGGTTACATAGACCAACTACCATACAATGTGGGAGATGGTTGTACAAGGTTAAGAATTCCAGCAGGTAGGATCATTGGGGAGTACAGCCATGACACCATTTTCTCAACACTATTATTAAACAATCCATTGTTTCCCTATTGAGTTTTAGGTATTATCCCCAGCCTATAGAAAATTCTTATATAGATAATTCTTGGATTTTTCTGCTCTCTTTTTACACCTGTGATCTTTCAGAAGGTCACATTTTGTGACCTTTTGGTATGTCTTATCTGAAAGGACATGATGACAGTAAATGATTAAACAGCAGGTCTGTAGTCCTGTCTTTCCCAAAGGGATTTTCCTGGGAAAAAAGATGGGCAACGCAATCAAATCCCCTGGTAAATACGCTAATGGCAGACTTCTTGATAAATAACCAATAATAGTATTTGCTAGTGGAAGAGTTCAGTAGGATATCTGATTGTCTAGGATTGTTCATGGTAAGCAAGCCTGGGGGCTATAGATTTATGGGGCATAGCTCCCTAGAAACTGTCATGTAAGCTGTTTAACTCTCTTATTCTATTAGATGAGCAAATATTTTCTGCCAACTTGGCAAACAGTTAATCATATTCAGGGGCTTGCTCTGATTTGGTTTGTTTTTTCCTTCAAGAATACACCATGGGTGGGTTATCTTCTGCAGGAGACATATAGTATCTTTCTCTCTTTTTGTCATATTAAAAGCCATTGATAATCAATGCTTAGATTAATTCCTTAGAAGTTGCAAAGCGGCAGAATTCTAGCATTTCTTCATTTATTAGTTAGAATATTCCTATAAAGGGAAACGTCCCTTCATCTACTATTTGGTAATCTATTGGTATAGTTCTTATAGGAAAAGCAGGATAAATGCTTTCGTTTTTCATTTATTGATTAGTTTTCAAATGATGAATTGGTTTGCTATCATTCTTCAATGTTGACCTACTGTGGTATTATGATAAAATCATGAATTTAAACATGTTTTATGTATTTTAATCCATTGTAGTTATTATTCATATTGATGTTGAAATTGTACCATATTTGGTAAATAGAACCTTTTGGAAGAGGATTCTTCAAGGAATGGATGCTTAAAACCCAAAATCTGAATGCTAAGCTGCTTATTATTTATTCTTGGGTTTCTCTACGATCTTGGCAACAAAGCTCATTGTCAATTTTCTGAGAAACTTTTTTTTTTTTTGTAAATGGTATCTTGGCATAATTTTATGTTTTTCTTAATATGAGCAAGATTGAGCATCATTTTCATTTTTCTTTTGTTTGTGTGAATAGTTTGTTCATCTCACTAGCCCATTTAAAAATAACACTGTTGGACTTTTTCTTTTCTATTTTTAGAAGCTCTTTATACCAGGCATTCTCAAAGTATGATCTGGGGAAACCTAGGGTTCCCCAATACTATTTCAAGGGGTGTGTGAAGTAAAAAATATTTTCATGATAATACTAAGATAATATTTGCCCTTTTCACTGTTATTATCTCATGAGTGTTCAGTGGAATTTTCCCAGGCTACATGATGTGATGCTGTAACATTGAATGCAAAAACAGCTATTTTTTATTAAGCCAGAAATTTTAAAAAACTGCAAAAATATAAGGCAATAACTTGCCCCTAATTTTTAAATTTCAATTTTTATGTAATTATTCAACTTTTTAAATGAACTCTACAGGTATCAGACTTCTTGCCAGTAACACTAGGTGCAACAAGATAATGAAGAAATGTTTTCAACTGCTGAGAAAAAAATTGAATTCGTGTCATACATCCTCTTAAACTATTGGGATGAGTTAGAAAAGATATCTTTTGGACTGTCAGTCATGGCCTCAAGAAGTTTAGTATGCAAAGGTTGTCCTGAAATCCACTTAGATTGGGGCAAGGGCAGTGAGGAGGGTCAAACCATGCCCTGACTTTGCTAAATTTGAAGCAAGCAGAGCAATGCATAGGGTACAAGTGAGTGGAGGTGGTCTAGGGGCATGAACATCTTTCTCTCCATGGGCCGTGGGTGCTGCTTAGTGTTTTTGGCATGGTTGTTGGTAGTCATATCACACTGTTGACCTATTCTTACATTAAGTTTTTTCTCTTTCTAAAATATCCTCTAAATGATCTATTGCTTACTCTTTCCTTAAGCAGATTGGGGGGGGGCACTGGGGGTACTAACTAGAGGATTTTAATTTTTGAACTTTGCATATTTAATCTTATGGATATCTAGGGAAAGTCAGTTTGGCCACTACCACGACTCAGACATGTCTGGAGGACTAGTGTCCCCTCTCCATTAAGGTGTGTGCATACAAGAATGAGTGGAGATCCTGGCTGCTTTTGTATCCTAATGACATGGAGTAGCTAATACTCTTAATTCTATACTATAAACTCCAGAGCTGCCTCCCTAAGCTATAAAAAGAACTGTGCAGGGAGGCCACTGCGGTGAAAATATTGGATTGCTTCTGAAAACCTGCTTTTTCAGGACCTGCTCCCTGTGTCATTAGCTTTATTCTTATGGAAAATAGCAGTTCCACATTAAAGATTTTCAGCAGTCCCCATCTGAGGATGCACACTGTCTCAGCCTTGTGGGAAACGCAAAGAGTCATCCGTTACTGTAGTAATCAAACAACCTTGGGAACACAAAGAGATGGGCTTCAGGATGCATTCCACAGCTGTGCTTTCCCTTCTCATCATTTCTTCCCCATGGTTTAGGGGAGAACGAACTAATCTGTATACCAATCTGTCATCTTCATTACCTAGGAGATAAACCAATTCTC